ATTCTTTTATTCTTCATTGTCAAACACAGCCGTATGCAGATGATACACTACTATAGTATTTTTTAATTTTTTTGCATATCCTGACCAAATACCTATAATGAAGGTTGTCCTCATTACAAGTCAAAGGGTTCAAGGGTATTTATGTTATTGACTTCAGTGTGATAGGTTAAGGGCATGAATATTGTAATTCCAAGACATTAAAAAGAAGCTTAATCTAAACTTAAAACAGTCCCTTCTAAAAGTTGTACATCATAGTGCTGGGCTGTCATGTACATGATTTCTCTTTCATGCTTAATTGTCCAATGAATCGATATGCAGACGATACAATCCTATACTTTGTTGCTTATTTGGTTCAAGTTGCTACATACAAATTAAACCCCCTCTTTGACTGAGTGCAGGATACTTATAATAACCATAAAGGTAAGATATTCATTACACTATGCATATCTCCACAATGACTGTTTTTAATACTGAGAGGTTCTGCTTACAGGACAATATAAATGCCTTAAAACGACAACCATGAGAAATGTACCTTTGCATATCATACATAGTAAAAGTTTGTTACCTAAAACAAAAGCCCGGCTTTCTGGACAGGAACACTAACCCTCTGATTTGAAGGAAAATTAAAGTTGAGTTGTTTTTCTCAGCTCCTGATTATGTGAATGTTATCTATACACATTCTCCACGATTAAGCACTTGGATTCATTTCTGGAGATAATTACAATACCCTCGAGTGCATTCTTCATAATTAGGTCTGTTTATCTCGCTTTAATAAAAGAGACAATAATCTTAATGTGCATTAATCTACAAATGTCTTGTTGCAAACTTGGTATCTTGTTTGCATATATGTTGACTTATAAAGGATTGATGACTGTATTGTTGGTGCAATGTTGGCTTTTTTTTTTGCCTGTATGTAATGATATTTAGTTGTTGATGTTTAGTGTAACTGTAAACAGGGTTGTGTGGTAAAAGAGCCTCTCTGTTCTCCCAACCTTGTATGAACAAAGGTAAAATTAATGTTTTGTCACTCTTAGCTTTGTTGTAAATAATGAAGACACAATCTTTAATGATGATAAAGGAAAACATGAACGTGCCAGAATATTTGTGAGGTGTTGAAACTCTTGTGTGTTTTGAGCCGATTAATTGAATGTGTGTGGTGAAGCTGATCCTCCAAATCTTTGCTGGAGTCTGAGGAATCCTGGGATTTTCCCCTGAGGGCAGATTGTGGTTTTTTATTGAGCTTTTTTTTTTTTTTTATCTTCTCCCACACCCTTTTCCTTTCCAGTAATATTTCCATCCTATTTCCTCTCATATTCTGTTCTTTCTGTTGCCTTGGATTCTATAAATCAGTTAAGGGGAAATAGCTCAACATCTTATACCGTGTGTTAATACATTTATATAGCTCTGCATCCTGTTATCATATAGGGTTGTTACTCAATCTTTTTGCACTCGTCAGATCATGCAGCATCATATCCTGTTGTAATTATAGTGTCTCATCCAGGCAACAGCCTCCCGTGAAGACAAATGTAGCTGATGCAAAAGTGCAAAAAAAGAACTGCAGGTCCTCTAGTGTCCACCTGAGGTTGGCTGCAAAAGCCCCAGAAGTTACATACACACCTGTGTTAAAATGCCCATTTAGACAGCAGAAATTAACATGTGTACAGCCTGGTTAAAATACATTTGTTTTGAATAGCTCATGCCGTCATTGGCACACACTGTACAGGGGTGAGTGTATTCAAAGCTCATTCATTTTGGTTGTATTCAAAGATATTCAACCATTTGCATAATTAGGAGCGGAGTTGATTTGACTGACAGGTGGGTGCACTTGTAGCTGTTTGCTAGGAGGCTTAAAGCCTGCCTCAGGTCCACTTCTTTGCCTGTTTCTAGGAAATGAAAGTTTGTTTGAGACAGCATTTTGAACATACGGTTCACTTCAGAAACCAATGGGTGACGTCACAGAGTCTACGTCCATATTTTATACAGGCTATGGTCTTTCCAAGACATACAGTTAAAGCAGATATATGGTATACTTTATCATTCTTTGTGTCTCACTGGTGCATCTTTGTAATACATGTACACAGTTTTCACGGTGATAGTGTTCAGAATGGTCCATTAGTTAAAAGTAGAAATAAAAAAGAGATCAACAACATATGGTTTGTGCCTTAATGTAGGATAAGTCTGATCTCCAGCTAACTTTTGGCCTTATGTCCACTTTATGTTTTTAATTTGGTTAACTTCCCCTGGCTCCTTTTAAGGTGAAATCTGTGAATGACTCACCCAATGACAAATCAAGCCCTGCTCAAACTTCTTTTTTTTACTATTTGCAAAGTAGCTCTGACCCTAACTTTTTGTAGAGTTCCACTCACAGTGAGTGACCCTCATCTCTTTTATGTCTAATTGTTGACAATGCAGTTCTTCTTCAGTAATCCTCTCTCTGCCTTCGCAGCAGATACAACATAATGCATCTCATAAAACATAAGTAATTATTTTCCCCCGCTCTAGCCAACAAGAATGTTGACAGTGCCAGCAATGTATTTTTTATAATTACTTCTGTTTGTATTGAATATATTTATTATAGCGCTGTAATCTTTTCCCTACTTCATCATATCGTTTTTTTTTTTCTCCTTAATGATCCTGTTTTCCCACGAGAATCTGCTGTCAAATCGCCTTTGAATTCAACAAGCAGCTTTTGATCTGTTGATGTTGTTGCAGATTGGCTGCATATTTTATGTGAACTCGCTCAAAGCTGGATTGGAGAACATTTCTCACAGAGACTGTTCTTATATAAGCTCTTCTGTGAGACCAGTTATCATTGATTGCCAATTCTGGGAATTAATAAAGCCAAAAAGAACCAGACTAAAATGTGAGTCAGGCCTCAGGACATGAACAATTTGACTTAAATTACAGCATGGTATTTTTTTTTTTTTATCAGGAAATAGGAATGGACAAAAACACTATCTGTGTGTGAATAAAGTAGAAAATTAGAGACACTTAATTACAGACTTCATGTATCAGACTTAAGTTTCTGTTGGGATTTGATTCCAAGCCAGCAGGGTTAGCATGGCTCCAGAGTCCAGGGTCTTCTTCTGGCATTAGTCAAATCATATTTTTTTGTTTCAGCTGACATCCACCATGTGCCTTCTCTCTGGTTCCCACAGATCCCGTTGCCATAGCCTGAGTGTGTTTGTGCAGTCGAGGGTGTGGACTCAGCGGTTACTGAGTTGGTGGCTGATTGTATTAGCTAGCAACGCTGGTTTGGAACTTGAGGATTGGAAAAAAAAATATGACTCATGAACTGCTGTTTTTTCTCTTCAGCTTTCCTCTCGCCTCATCTTACTTTTGATCCACCCACTGCATCCCCCCCACACTGACAAAATGATGTGATACTTTTCACAGCCCACGACAGAAAGAAACATCATTATGCAAGTTGATCACGGATCAAACTCAGAGATGCCTTTCATATGCCACATGCAGGCCAAGATACTCCATTTTTTTTTGTTATTCAACTGAAGTAGGAGGTCCTCATGCACAGTCATCTGCAGGAGAAGTAGTTATTAAGAGGAGGTACAATGGAGAAAACAATCCAGAATAATCACCTGGTAGCAAGCAAAATAGCATGTTGTCTAAAAGGCCATTAAGTGAAAGGAAGAATGTGCAACGTTTTGCTCCAGTAGACGTCGCCCTTGAGCACCAGATTAAACCAAAACAAACTGCTGTTTGGCGACACCTCCATTATTCTGAAGCCTCCGCTTTCCTCCAGCGGCACACCTCCAACTCCATTCGCACCAAGGAGTGATCAATTAGAACGCAACATAATTAAGCACCATTAAGAGCAAGCGGTCCTTAGCTCGAACTGCAATTGCCTGTGGTCTGCATTGTTGTGTTAGCAGGCTAATGTTAGCACACTTTGGTTAACTCATCGCTTCATATTGAACATAAAGGCCGTCCCGTCCATTTAAACATGATGTAAACACGGCTAACACAACAATACAGCTGGCGGGACTGATGCTTCTCACTCATTGTAGACAGTCATGACTCAGAGAGACATTTACACAGGATATACTTGATTTCTGATGTATTTATGTTTAAAATGTTGCACATTCTGCCTTTAAGACATAAGCAATCTCTATGGTAGAGCCCATGAGGAACCTCTGCTGTTTTAGAAGCTTGGATGCATCCTCTACAGTTAAAGTGTTATTTAAAAAGGTCACAATCAACTCATTTCAAGTTTTATATTTCCACTTTTTGAAACCTCTTTTATAGCTCTGCAGGATTTACAATAAGTAACTCTAAACATTTATCTCTACCTGGTGTCTTTGAAAACCCTCTAGTCCCCCCCCCAGCATGTTAAAGTTACATTTATGTCTTTGAATATGAAACAGCATAATACCCCACCCCCACCATTATTATTAATGGTGTTGAGAACAGGATGGTTTAAATCAGTGTCCAGAGGGTACTGTACCTCTGCTGTTATGTAAATCAAGCGAGTATGGGCTGTTACAGAGGAGCAGAAGTGCACGGCTGTTAAGGAAGAAAATGCGATTAGCATTGTTGCAAAATAAAAAATCTGCAAAATAATTATTGTACATTGATGATCTATAGTACCTATCTTGTTAATTGCAGTATTTCCAATCTATGTTGCAAATCATTTCATTCACAATTTATAAATCATTTACTAACCTATTCTTGATCAAATCACTGGTGAAATTATCTCGGTTATTAAGATGAACATCAGTCTGCCAGAGAATAAACTCATGTCACTATAGTTTAAAATCTGCCTGAAGAAAAAGTCTGTTTATTTGTTTTTTTTGCCAGGAGTAACAACATTACAGTGTGTACGTCCCTGCCCATGAAGTGAATCATACACCCAGAGTTAACACACTAGTGTGTAGTGACTGTGGGAAAACTGGGGCAGAAGAACAGCACATACACACACACTGCACTCCCATAACTGGGACATAAAGTACTGTATGTCATTCTCTTGTTCTGTCTTTCTTTAGTTATGCAGGTCGTGTAGTTGGCAGCGGTTTAAAAGCCCAGAGGGAGAACCCAGAGATGTCCGTCCGTAATACAGATCCTGTCCTGAAGGGGGCGAAGCAGAGGCTGGAGCAGCTAACACAGGTATACACAGCCGCACACTTCAGATAAGAAATACTAATGAAACAAAAAACACACACTGAACACACCATTCTCACATTTTAGTATTCTGAGCAAGCCTTGAAATTAACATAGTTGACCGTCTCAATTTTCCTGATTGTCCTACACTGATGTAAACATTTGCAGTCTCCAGACTATAATTGTATTGTATTTTGTAGACTTCAGGGACTTTCAACTAGCGCCACCCTTTTTCAGAATTTCACCATGACCAACACTTTGACACATGAAAAGGTGCTTTTCAATAACCCATCTATGAAAAGATAAAACAGACCAGAGAAAGGCCTATACCCAAAGATTTCATCATGTTCAGTTGTTTAACCGCTTGGGCAAAACAAAGCTTTTTTTTCCCACTCCTGTGGCACATGTGTGTATTGTCCTCTACTGCCTGCCAGAGGGGAGGAGTTGGACGAGCTGTTAGCCAAGGAGAGCTTGGTCACAGGCAGTTAAAGGCTCTGCTCCAACAGTGGGACTGGTAGACATCCTCAATTGCCAGCAGCTGTGTCCTAGTGATGTTCTTGGCTGCCCTTATGATCCTCTGCAGTGCTGGTGCCGGTGCTTTCCCATGCAGCTGGTAAATTTATAATGGACATTTAAAACAAACATTTTGTCCACAGTGGGTTAGTTGTTAGGTTCCTGGTTCAAATCTCTGTCTGAAAAGGCCTTTCTGTGCAGAGTTTGCACGTTTTTCCGGTGTATTAATTGGGTTTTAACGGTTCCTCCCACAGTCCAAAGATACAATCGTTAGGTTAAGTGGTGACTCTAAATTGTCCACAGGTGTAGATGTCAGTGTGAATCCATCAGGCATGTGATTGACAGGGTGTACCCCGCCTCTCACCCAATTACAGCTGGGATTGGCTCAACCGCCCACATCCCCTAACAGGATAAAATATTGGTTATATATAATGGATGGATGGAGTCCAAAGTGCTTTACACTCAACCCTGATGTGATACAAATTGATACCAATGCAGGTATATTTCATTATGTATACTATGCAACAGCTTGTACTTTGGAGTACCTATAGGTGTTGATGTGGATGTGGGTTAAGTCATAGTAAGAAACATGTTCTTTGGATGGTTTCATAACTCTGCCATGGAGCATAAATATCATCTTTATTCACCTTGGCCATGACACCTTGATGTCTAAAGGTGGTTAGCTTTCTGCATCAACGTCTCTACCTGCCTATAAAGGATGGAATTATTCATAGCCATACTTGAATAATAATGCTGTTGTTGGTTTGATCTTTACAGTAAAAAAATTAAGCTCAACCTTTCTGTCTCGTTTCAAAGTGGGATGAAAGTGTGCCGGGGCCGTGGTTGTGTGTGCATGTGTCTCTGTGATGTGTCCTGGTTCTCAATCACCTGTTATCATTCCACATGTGAAGCACTGTTTCATCTAATTCACCTTTTTTCTGTCAGCGCCCTAAAAAGGATGAGGATAAGGACGTGCAATAAAAAAATATATAATTATACATTTTAAACTTGATTTATTATGCAGCTTTTATAAAACTCGGGACATCATGGTGACATGATGATATGATTTCCATGGATGATTCATAAAACCATAAAAAAAAAAAAATATGATCCCATAAAATGGTGCATCAAGATTACTCACAATGGTGATTCATTGTTTTTGTCTGTGTTAGGAAACTCGCTGTAGTGGATGATAGACGATAAAAGGAAGCCAGACAACAAAACACAGTGAACGATAGACAAGCAAAGAAGACAACAAAGTTGCCAGACATTAAAGGATAAGCGGACAATGTTTCATGATTTATTACTTTTACAAAATCCCAGCCACTCTGAGTTTCCAAAACAGCCTGGGAACTAGACAGATTTCACGTTTAGACGTGTCTGGTTCTCCCCTCGTGTTCAGATAGACATCCAGTCGAGTTGGCCAATCACTTCTGTTTATTTAACAGGAGTGCAGTTTAAGTGACAGTGAGGAATTTTTTATAAACAACCAAAATGACTCCAGTAGTCTGAATGAGTCTCAGTATTCATTTGATTGGAGGGTAGGTCCTTAATGTTCAAAGCTGAATAATAGTTATTTTATAATTTCATGCCAAACGTCTGTGTATTATGTTGAACTAAACTCCTCAAAAAAAGTTTGGAAACATTAATTCGGTCACTTATTTCTCCCCTTTAATTATACTAATTTATGTATTATTATATATTGTTGGAAAGCCTGATTAGTCACCTTTACAACCAGGTATAACTTGTAAGGATCATGCATTCGTGGAATGAGCAACACGTTGAGCTAAACGTGTGAGTAGCACCCAAAAGAAATGTGCCATAATCCCCTGCTATGTTCTCTGTTGGTATTCACTCCTGTTTTGAGCTCAAGTCCTGCCAGGTGTGTGCCAGTTACAGGTGTATGACTGACACCTGATTAGCACCCTATTGACAGCACTTGTGGGATCAGCTTGGGTTGGTTGACCTTCAACAACTCCTGGTTGAGTAATGGGAGGCCATCCAACAGCAGAATGTGACCAGGCTGGTGACCAGCATGAGGAGGAGGTGCCAAGCTGTTGTGGCTGCATATGGATCTTCCACACGCCACTGAAGTCCCTGACAGTATAAAATGAATTGTGTAAAAATGGCCAATATGTGTTGTTTTTTTCCTTATTACCGTGGGAGAGTGCAATCATCCATTCCACCTAGCAACTCAAAAAAGGAGTGAATACCAACAGAAGAACATTGCAGGGGATTTTAGCACATGTTTAGCAGTGTTCCTCATTCCACGAATGCATGATCCTCACAAGTCATACCTCATTGTAAAGGTGATGAATCAGGCTTTTCAACGATATTAAATATAATACCAATTAGTATTATTAAAATAAGTGACCAAAACAACATTTCCAAACTTTTTTTTGAGGCGTTTAGAAGTGGATTAAATTGGATGTTGTAACAAGTTACCTTACCTATCATCCCACTCCTACTCACATTTTACATTAATCTGATTGTAGGTCTATCTCACTGGGATTTTTGTTATGCAGTGATACTGTATTAAGGTGCACTATACACCATTAACTAGTTGGCTATTAGTGAACACATGAACAGGATGTCAGCACTTCATGACTCATTTAAAAGCGCTATTTAGCGGGAAATTATTCTAAAACTACCAGACCATTAGTCAGTGATGTCACTATAGATGGATGGATGGATAGATTTTTATTGATTTTCAAGGCCATGGACTTAATTATTAAAGGAATTGATATATTGCATCCAGTCTGACTGCTGATCATCTGTTGCCGTTGAGTGCAAACCCGGCTGAACCACACCAGCCGAGTCACTTCTGGATCAGACAATGCAAGAGCTACAATGACTTAGCAAATGCTGATTTTTCCATTGACTGAAAGTATGATTCCTTTATTTAACGTGAAAATCTAAAGAAAATGAAACAACTTTAACACTCAGATGACGCAAAACGAGCTACATGCAACTGTTAATACAGTAGGTGTCAGTCACCATAGAGTTCATCTGAAAACTTCAGATACATCAGTACAGTGTGGCTGTGTTTAGGTCAATGGATAAATCTGACATTGAATCAAACATTTAATTCCACACTGGCTGATTTCGCTGTATCATCAGATCAAAAATGGAATTAATCCTTTGTTGACAACTGGAAAAATGTGTTTTAAATAAGTGTTGTTGAGTGTTCATGGAAATCACGTGATGGGACATGTAAAAGTTTCTTTTTCTCTTTCTGCTGTTTCAGCTTTTTTTTCTGTGCTACGTCCAATTTGGGCGGCGAGTCCATTAATCATGTTGCATTTACATGGAGGAAATGCCAAGTCAGCACCCTCCCCCCACTAACATTTACACAAACACACACCACCACACAGGCAGCATGTTATTATTTATGTCTTGGACCTACTTTCTCAGCCCTATTAATTCTATACAAGCGTGAGGGACTCTTCTGCAAATTCCTTTACATGAAAACAAACACACACTCCAACCTGATGAGGATAAGAACAGTTGAATCAATATGCATGCACAATAAAAGGACGATGTTGAGTGCCAGCAGACAGCACTGTGAACTAAATGGGGGGAAAAAAAAGGCAGAAATATGGAAGCCAATCTGCTGAAAGCATGTGCAAACAACAAAACTTGTGTACAAATATACACTTTGAGCTGTTGTTGTCCTTTGAACAAGTTTAGAGTCTCTTTTGAAATCCAGAGCCGGGGCTGTTCTTCTGTCATGCTAGCTGCCTCGGTACTTTCTCAGAAGGGAGGCCGTTTGTCTGAGGCACACACATTAATGCACACCATGCATTGATAATTACTCACACTTGTCACATGTGCCATTTACACACCCGCGCAGCCAGTGTGAACGGAAGAGCAAAAATGTAAAGCAGGACAAAGAAGCATCCTTTGAATCTTAATTATTCCATCAGTCATGTTTTGGTAGTCTGTCTCTTCTTTCTGTCTTTCCTGTCTCAATTTTCTACAACATGGTAATTAGAGTTTTGCAGCACCGGGTTATGTTTCACACTGGCTTTCCCCCTCTAATGGGATTCCATTAGTGTAGCCATTCAAATTATTCTCACAATTAAATTTTCTATGAACATGTTCAGCCAATCAGGATGAGCCTAATCAGCATGGTGTAGGCTTCCCCTCGTGTTGGAGAAGAGCAATGGTCCTAGGAGTGCTCATCCACAGCCTAACGGGATTTGCACTTATTTTGATGATGGTGACAAATGCCAAGTGAAGCACTTACTATTCAAATTGTCTAAGAGGAAGATCTTGCATGGTGCCTAGAAAAGGGAGTCCCTATAGTATATTCTATATTGCTCATCTCTGTGCTGCCTGCACATATTTCTGAGCAATGGCTTCAAGCTGTGTACATACAACTAGTTGTGAAATGTCCTTAATGTATTCATTACAAACCTGATTCTTTGTGTTCGCTGATTTGTACGAATTTCATGTTAAACTTCAGGATTTGTTATCTTTGTTTACTACGAGATAATATCTGAACGGAGCAATGGTACCTTAATGGTGGCAGGTTTCATTTCTGGATAAATGTAATAAGGAGACTTGCAGAATTGAGATGCCATCTCCTTTATTTCAACAAATCCCTTCTTGTCACTTATGCAGACAGAGAAGTAGGATAAGATCCAATATTCTCACCTCACCACCAAGTGCAAGTTTCCCCGTCTTTAATTAGACAGGACAGACCACTCTGGTGCTGCAGCCCTGCGATAGTTTTACTTGTTGGTTTATTAGTTTCACTGGAGAGAGTTTCACTGCCTCATGACCCAAATCCAGATTCCACTCCTTTCCTTTCCACATGACTAGAAAAACACAGTCCTGGTGGAAACATTGCCGTAATGTATTTTTGTCCTCCCTCAGCCCTCATTTGCAGTCGGTTGACATGATGGTGAATCACTGCACACAGAGTCTAGCCTGTATCCATGTCCCCTCGGACATGCTGTCATATAATAACCTTGGTTCCCCTTGTTTCCATGGCGGCCCAGCGCCTACCGTACAGTGGAGGCCAGATGTCCCGCCTTCTGCTTCTAACCTGATTCAATACAGCGGCTCAGGTACAAGAATGTCACAAATAGACACTTTGAAGCTGTTTAAATAATAAAATAGTTCACCTTTTGGTAACTTTGTCATGAAAGGTCATTGAACTGTATTCTCTTTGAAAGGGGCCGTGTAATTTAATACAGTGTCAAAGCATTTAACGAATAGTTTATACCTTTTTTTTTCATGCTTGCCCTGCGTATACTCTTCTTTATACTGTACAGTGTAATTAAAATATAAAGCTTTAAATATCAGAGAACGTATTTACCATTTCAGAAATGGAAATACAAAAACATTTGCATAAAATTATATAGTAATACACAAATTCCAAACACCAATGCTATTCGTAATTTAAAGTGCAATCGGAGAAAAATGAATACAGATCTGGTTCGCCTTCAGACAGCATGTCATAACCTTTGTTATTCATGAATATGAAGCAAAAGTACGAGTTTGTTTACCATAAAAAATAAAAATAAAAGCATGTTATAACCCTGTTTAAGAAGCCCTCATACTGTATGTAGACATCTTGTATGTTTCCATGACATATTCTGTTTAATTTAAAGCTCCTGTGATGATCATTTTGAGTATTTTGGTTGTACATCTCGTCTCTCTGCTGATCTTGTCCAATACATGAGTAAGTTCTGGAGAAAAATCACATCCTGCTCTCTTTCAGCAGTCAAACATATCACACATTTTGCAGTGACAAATGTGGGGAAAAAGGCCCTTTGTCTTTCACCTTGTCTGGCAGCTACCCCACAGCAGCAGGTAAAGGCATTAAGAACCACTATATAGAAATAATATATTTCCCCCCTGATTGAATCTAATACGAACGCCTCTGTATGACTTACAGAAGCAAAAAAATCTGTCTGTTTCATAACCAGGTAAAAAACTTCTCACAGGAGCTTTAACTTTCCCCCTCAGTTTAAGAGTTTGAAAGTTAAGTGGAGGTCTATCACTGCATATTTCAAGTTCAAACTGTGAAGAAAACTGTTTTCCAATTGACCTATTATTATGTGTTTGACACATCTGCACCACGATACAAAGAAACATCTTCCACTACATACTGTACATCAGAGTTAAACTGATAGTAGTTCCAAGGCAGATCTAAGCCGCCGTTAAATAAAGGAAGTATAATGATATTATTTATGTGCAGCAACAAGCTACCTGGCAGGAAGACATTCAAATAACACATTTATTTCTTTTAAAAATATTTCCTGAGGCTTGGCACTGCCTAACCTCCAAGAATATTACTATGCCGCTCAACTCCGGCCCTTGATAGGTTGGTGTGATGCTAATTATTTTACAGGATGGAAGGAGACTGAGTTGAACATGGAAGGGTGCCACGTGCAGACTATGATTGCGAACAGAAACATCTATAAGGAAAAGGAGGGATTATTGAATTCAATCACTGGGTTTACCTTGGGAATCTGGTTTAAAGTAGTTGAGAAATACAAATTGGAGAATTGGAGTTGGATGGCATATGACACTAATTTCAAACCAGGGACTCTAAACCAGAGGTTTAAACAGTGGGCAAATAGAGGCATAACAATAATTGACACATTACTTAAAAAAGGAAAAATCAAAAGTTTTCTAAAACTAAGGAGATAATATGACTTAGAAAACAAAGATTTCTACATGTACCTACAAATCAGAGATTATTTCAATAAGGGGATAAAGCCGGATTCCCCATGTGAATTAAACTGATTTATTGTAACAATGTGTAATGCATACAGAGGTACAGTCAAGAGAGTAATTTCAGTGTTGTGTCAAAATATGGTGAGAAATAGAAAAACCTCAACTCTATACATTAGAGATAAATGGGAAAAGGAACTAAAGAGAAAAATAACCAAGGAAGAGTGGCATAACATGTGTAGGACACAGAGTAGAACGTCAAGCTCTAGAATGTGGAGGGAATACGGTTGGAGAAATATTGTGAGATTTTTCATCACACCAAAACTTAAAGGAAGATTCTCACTTGTCCCACAGCCTTGCTGGAGACAGTGTGGGGAACATAATGTTGATCATGCTCATGTTTTTTTGGCAATGTGTGAAAATGACTGAGTACTGGGATGAAGTGTGGAAAGAAATGAAAGCAATTTTAGGTTCTGAACTTCCTAAGGCTTGTGAAGTGCTGTATCTGGGAAATTTAACATAGGAAAATATACAAAGCAAAGACAGATACCTGGCTGGAATACGACTGGTGGCGTCAAAGAAAGCTATAACAAGAAAGTGGTGTAAGGAGGACCCCCCCCACTCGGGGAAACTGGTTGGACATTGTTGAAAAACTACATGATATGGAGAACTTTACACACAATTTAAGACTACAACACTCTGCTTGCCAAGGAAAATGGATAAAGTGGACTGACTTTAAAACCCACCACAAAGTCTGAAGAGAATGGACTATTTAAAAGGAGGCTAAACTGACGATTGTTAACTGACACCAAAGATTGTATACTGTGTTTATTTTGATGTATCCTCATTAAGAAAAGCAAATAAAATATAAGTAATAAAAAAATATTTATTTCCTGAACAGTTTACTCTCATTTGGCCTCTGTAGTATTTAACTCACCAGACAAATCTCACTATTCTGTGGTATTATAAAACATTAAGCTAGATGTTACAATCGTGGTAACATCAGCTTTTTTTGTGAATAGGAATGTTATCTTTTGGGGAAAAGGAAATGCCCGAACAATATCTGGTTTTCATTTTCAGAACAGTTGGCCCCTTTTTCTTTATCTCTGTTTCAACTAGAATTCATATATATTACACTGCAATACACATTCATCAAACTGTGAGGCAATTACAAGTTCCTGTCGCTGTGTTTGTGTGGTAGCCTATAATAAACCATCGTGGAGTTTCTTACTTGGCTGAAAAGTTTGTGTTGTCCTCCATGAGTTTATTAAAACTGAAACAAATATATGACCCAAACCTCAGCAGATGTTTCTTTCAGTCGTTCAGAAGTTGAGCTTAAGGAGACATTTTCCAGCCAGCATCACAGTTATGTAACATATGACAGCCTCAACACTGTGACACTGAGCAGTAGAGAATATGGATTCACATAGACACTGCATGACCTCAATTACCATACAGATTGCTGCCTGATGTGTGTCTATGTGTGTGTTCATGTTTCTGTGTTTGTGTAAAGATCGTTTTTACTTAGTAAAATTATTACTATTAGCTGCTTGTAATGATTTTGAGTTCAAGCTTTGACTCATTGTCAGGTCAGATAAATGACTAGCAGCTCTGTGATGTACTATAGATTAGCTTGGAGTTAGATGATAACACCAGTATGTTGACACTTGCAAATTTCTCTAATTTTCAACTGTATTTAGACTAGACTAGACAAGAATATCATTCAGGAAAGAGATGTAACAACATGTATCACACTCTTTTTACAGTCTATGGTATCACCCTGTTGCCCAAGCATGCTCACACTTCTGATTCCAAATAATCCTGGCAGAACCAGCTTTAGGATTGCTTAATGGTTGGGACATTACGCTTTAAACCACATGCCATCCTCGAGGTGGTTCCAGAGGAAAAGTTCATGTATCATCAAAGTCTGTAAGGCCCCTCCCCCCATGATCAGAACTGTCTGTACTTAAAGGCTGACTCTGCAAAATTGTTCACATAAATATAGCAGAAATCAAATATATCCAATGAGTGTGACCCCCGAGTCCCACTGTCTGTGATGTTTTTCCGAGCCGTAGAGCGTGTTTACATGGACATTACATTACAATCATTGCTATCCATTTAGTTGTACCACAAGGTAGCGTAAAAAGTGAAATGCTAGTTTTTAGCTTGAAAGAAAACCTAACTGTGTTTTTTTTTTTTACGCTTGTTGTGACACGTGTTATATGTGTAATATTTACTGACATCTAGCATGGTGTTTGTTTTCTAATTTAGGAGCTGTTAGTTGAGCTCGGCTGGGCCACTAAAGCCAGAGCAAAGGTGGAGGAAGAGGAGGGAGGGAGCACACAGACGGAGAGAGGCAGCGGGGATGACTGTGATGATGAAGATGGCTGTGAAGCATCTGGTGAGGAGAACGGTGAGTCATGCATACACCTACGCGCACACACACACACACACACACACACACACACACACACACACACACACACACACACACACACACACACACACACACACACACACACACACATAAGAATGGATGCAAAGGTAGTCTAAGAACCAACAGCATAAGAATGCATGCAAATGTAGTCTAAGAAACAACAGCACACACACACACACAAACACATACACATCCACACATGATGTATGCACACTTGCAAGCTTGTCCTGAAGTTGAGCAAATATAGGGATTCTGGTTCATACATAACACATCACCGTACAGGAGGCTATATACTGTCCATATATATATATATATATATATATATATATATATATATATAAATATGCACACACACCATAAATAAAAGACAGCACACACTCAGAGTTCATTGGCATGGTGGAGGTTTTTAAAATGCTGCAGCCTCCTCATATCTTGTGCCAGCAGGGAAATGCCCGGAGGGAGGGATAGTACCGAGAGATGGATTCAAATGTCCTCTCTCTCTCTCTCTCTCTCTCTCTCTCTCTCTCTCTCTCTCTCTCTCTCTCTCTCTCTCTCTCTCTCTCTCTCTCTCTCTCTCTCTCTCTCTCTCTCTCTCTCTCTCTCTCTCTCTCTCTCTCTCTCTCTCCCTCTCTCCCTGCCGCTCTCAGCGGTTTATCTCCTTGTCCAGGATGAAGGATGCACTAACAATCAGGTCACCCTAAAAACAGAAATGAAAAAGTAAACTGTAATTATTCATTTATCTTTTGACTTATTCATGCGCTTTTGCCCATACATAATACATGGGTGTCATGGGGGGATCGGGGGACCCCTGGGAGCCTCGAGGCTATCCCACAGAGTGAATATTCTTCAAATTGGCTCTTATTTAGATTGTTGATGTAAAATATGTGGTTCTTTGTTGGTGCAGGATTGACTTTTGATTGGGAGTTAAAAATGCATAAACTTCTCTCTCTGTGAGCAGTTTTATGTTTTAAATGAAGCATTGTGAAGGCTTGAGAAAGATAATTAGAGAAATTAAATTCTGAAGGGTATCATATTCGGCATTTTAAATATGAATATAGCAGATATCCTAACTAAATATATCGATGAGGAAGGCCTTTCTAAAAACGACTGAAATCAAACTCCCTCTGAGTTTCACTCACGAACCTCCTCCCTGTCCAACTGTTAGTCCTGCCACCATGTGGGGGAAGAGAGATAGCTCCGCCCACTCATGGACACTGCTAGTAGAGGCAAAATGGTCAGTTTCATCGCAAGAAGACACTTCAGAGAGAATCAACAGACTTTCAAAACTTTTTTTTTGGTATAAAAATGGGGTGAAGGGGTGACTTTGTTTTTGTTAAAGGTTTGAATGGTGCTAAAGTGTGAGGCCCCAATTCTTATACTGGTATAGCCTTTAAATACCTTTTATTTAGACTGTTATGATCATTGAGGGACGGCCCTATGATTTTCAAAGACGTAAAGTCCCACTGCACCTTTAAGAAAAAGCTAAAGACCCAGCTCTTTCATGAATACCTACTAACTTAATGATGATGGTCTCCATATTATTGATGATGATGATGGTAATGATGATGGTTTTTGTTTGATAACGACGACTTATAAGATGGTTTCTATACTGATTAGAGCTCACAAGAACTGCCCTCAATGTTGTGCTTTGCCTCTGGTCACTTCCTGTCAGCACCTGTGTGTCCAATCAGACTCAAAGCTGATCGTTTGCTCTTACTGACATTGTTTCCTTTTTTCTAGATCCTTGCTTGTGTTGTACTTACTCTCTGATGTACGTCGCTTTGGATAAAAGAGTCTGCGAAGTGAATTGTAGAATTGTAAAGAATCTAAAGAATCTATTTAAAAACAGAATAAAGAAATACACAAGAAAGCAAATAATAATAAAAAAAGCAACAAACAGGCAAAAGAAAGTATAGATCTGTAAAAAAGAGCAGAGTATGTTCTAATCAGGGTTTTGAAATAACCTCTAGGGATAAATATTGTCAGTGTTATTCTTTTTTGTAAAAAAAATCCCAATATGTGAAAAACATCAACTTAAATAAGTCGTCCTTTAAGGTTTGAATTAATGTGTTTCCATGAATAACTTTAAAATGCCTTTTTTCTCCTCTGGTTAAAGGTTAATCAGACAGATTCAATATGTTCATGGCTCACTGTTCTTTCGCTGTTAGAAGTTTTCTTAGAAAGGGAGATTATTCAGATCCATTTGGTTAAGATGGTTTCTAGATGACTCCACAGATTGTCCAGTTTCTTTTTTAATCAAACATCAGTGTTGTCTCCTAACAAAGACCTGAAGGACACACAGTCCTCAGAGGCTGTTTATGTACTACAGCTCCTCTTAACGCTACAGGAATATTCACCGTCCACTTCTATCTTTTGCTGGAAAAACTCATACGTTGATTAAGTGGTGAGGCGACCCCGGCCATTGTTATGGTCACCAAACTTTCCATGACACTCAGGCAGTTTTGTGACGGCTGATTCTCTGTTTGCATCTGCGATGACCCGGGCCAATTATATTTAGGTCAAACCAATAACGTCAGGAATGTTTGTTGGGATGTTTCTACTGAATAGAATGGAAGTTGTGCAGGAGGAGTTTTATTGTTGGAGGCGTTCCTGCTCCACAGTATGGATTATTATAATTTTCTCATTCTTCTCCATTATCACCTTGTTACCCACGACCCGAGCTGGTGTCACCCTTGTGATCATGCCGTCCTGGTGATGTCATTGGTCAGTGGGCTTCAAGTCCCTGAGGCCAGGATGTAACGGAGTCAAAGGCCATCGTCACATTTATTTTCCCTGCACTGCCCTCGTCATTACTGCGGTCACGAGTGAGTCTCCATACGATGACGTAAAGGACGAGAAATGCTGAACTGCATAGGTCAGTCATGTCCAACCCCCGGCCTGTGGACTGGAAAGAGGACACGAGACAGTTTGGAAAAGGCCAGGACTAAATGATAGGATCAGAGGAAGAGGATCGAACCTCTAATGTTTGGACTTTATAGGTGACTGGTGTTCCTATTAGCTCAAAGGATAATCTGATCATTATTAATAACTCAGTTTCTTAGTTTATTATTGTACATGTGGTTTGAGTTCTGTTACTACAAACCAAAAAGATCTGTTTTCCAGTGTTAGGCTGAATCTCGATGTCCTCCCTAAACCCTGAGCCCTTGCTGACTTTATTGACGTCACATGGAAAGTGAATGAGTGCATGAGGCTGCTAGGGCTCCAATGGTTAAATACAAATGGACAGCACTTTGCGACTTCTCTGTAACCATGACAGCATGATGTAATGTGGCAAAAGCTTATTTAACGTTTTTTACTTTTCTCACTCACAGCCATGGCGCTTATAAAAAGTTCTACTCAACATAGGCCTCTAAATAAATGTATTTGTTGTGGGATAGATAAAGGTTTATCTTATGGGACTAATATGCTCTGTCTCTTTTTTTGTTTATAGACTTGCAAATAAGTTCTGAATTAGCTGTAGTTTCCAATTTAGTAGACTGTAAATAGAGCGTGGTTTAACCTTCCTGTTTTTTTACCGTCTCTACCTTTTTTCCATTTTATGGTATTTGTTTACCTTTCAAGTCTTGTGGGCTCTCCCGGGAAATCATATGTTTCACGCCACAGTGCTATGAACTATGGGTAATTCCTTCACGTTAAGTCTGCAGATATGCCCACTTACAGACAGGGTGCAAAAGTCAGCTCGTAAAGTCAGCGAGCGATCCCTCAAACACTTGACGATTTCACAGTGGGACAGCACTAAGCTCTCACAGACTTACGGGAACGCGCACCAAAGTTAGTGAGTGTGTGAGATCGGACATCGAGATTGGGCCTTCGTCATTCTTGTGTGATTCCTATGGCTTCTGGTTTTCCCTTTTTGGTTTGATGAAAGTACGTTTTTGCCTTTTTGTTCAATTAATATTTTCAGTTTAATTCTGCACTTGGGTCCTTTGTTTTTTAACCGAACCGTGACTGAATGATCTGACACAAAAGGGAAGAAACACAGAGACTAATTAGACACAGAGGCAATCAAACACAGGTGAGACCAACAAGACACAGGTGAGGACAATGAGGGCAATCAGGACTGGAGGGAAACAGAGAGCGGGAAGAAAATACAAGACAGGAAACACTGAGGACAACTACAAAATAGATACATGAAACACTGAGGACACAGAGAAACTCAAGAATGTAACATGAAGACACACTAGAACATAGAGGGACACAAGGATAAGAAATGACAAAATAACACAGGAAACACTGAAGACTAAACTATGAAACAATCAAACACTAGGATAGATGATTAACTAAGTAACAAAACAAGGAATAAACTAACTAAACAAAAGTAAACCATGACAGAATATTACTTTAAAGCATGCAAACTTTAAATCTTACCAGATCCTATACCCTCCTTAAACGGTTGTTTTCTTGCACTGCCTCACCCCCTCTAAAGGTACAGTAAGACATTTGTTGGTGCATCCGTCACAGCTCTGGAGTAACCTTGATGTGTCAGATCTGTGGAAACTCATCACCCCCTGCTGAGCCTGAAACTGGTACATTGGCTATTTATAGAAAAAATTACAGGTTATGATCTATTGAGCTGGGAATCGCATCTCTCAGGCCACAATGAATCCCTGCGAAAAAGAATTCCAGTGAGGATTGACAGAAGGGGATTCTCTGTGTGTCGGCATGTCTTTGCATATTTAAACACACTCACTCGAGCTGAACGAGTGATGCAGCATCAATCAAGAGGACACAAATCACACCAGATAACTCCAGCCTTTTGAATTATTTGCACTTTTTTATGCCTTTACTCTGCGTTAAATCACCATTTCTGACTTAATGTGTGAATAAAACACCATCAAATGAACGAATGCAGGCTGCTCTGATGTGTCTTTGGATGGATCGAACTGTAAATCTGCCTGTGTCCACGCTCTCTGGCTCCGTCTCTTTAACATTCAGCCTACAAAACCCCCTTCTCT